TGTCTACTGATAATGATGAGGAAATTTATGATAGATGCTTACAATGGAATATTCAGACATAAAAATGAAGTCTTGATACATGCTCCAATACAGACCAATCCTGAAAACTATGCCAAGTGAAACATGCCAGTCACAAAAGACCACATATTATATGACTCCGTGTATACAAATATCTAGAGTAAGCTAATCTATAGAGACACAAAATAGGTTGATGATTATTTAGAGCTGAGATGGAGGGGTAGAAAAACGATGAAATACTCTACAGTACGACTGTGGTGAATTTACTAAAATGTACACTTTAAATGGGTGAGTTACACAATTATATGAATGCAAATTATATCCTAATATAACTGCGGCCAAAAAACAGTTCAGTACAATGTTGTTTCTAAAACCATGTCAATGAATTTTTCATACTGCTACAATAAAATCCACAAGTCTGTCTTGTTCTTTGAACAGATCTTATGCAGATCTTCCAAATGTTGACACATTTTCATTACATAATATCAAAAAAATCACTCTTGTTAATATCACCAATGATCTAATAGAAGTCTTTCAAATGCTGGGAAGTTATCAAGCTCGGAGTAGCAGACAACACGTTTTCCAAAATTCTAATTTTCACCTCAAAGCTTGAATTTTATCTTTGGCAACAAATGATGTCAGATGTTTCCTGTGCAGGAACAGGCTCATTCGTTTTCATCTACCAGATATCCAAATTTGAGTAACTACGGCCTGTTCTTCCAGGTAAAATGGTGCTCCGTGAAAATAGCAGCGAGCAGCTAGTGTACAGCACTAGCGACTAAGCTGTCAAACGCTCTTCTCCAAGACATCCACCACGTATTAGCGGAACAGTGCTTGGAGTGCCTCTTTCCCATCTCCCTGTACACAGAAGACGGGTGCTCTACGGTCAAGGGCTAGCGAACTTGTCACTTTTACTACAAATGTGCAAGTGCAGAATGCAACAGCTACGAGCATAATCAGACACCACTGACTTGATTCCTGCTAGTTTTACCCACCACTTGTTTTGCAGCATGAGTGAAAGTGTCGACACACATAAAAAAAAAAAAAACCACAAGAAAACAACATGTTAATAGTATTTTGAAAATCATTCTGACCGTCCAGACCTCCTGAAAAGGTATGAGGACCCTCCGGAGTCTGTACACCACACTGGAAACTCACGGGCTAGGTCAGCGGTGGTGAACCTGTGGCCGTGTGCCACAGCGGACCGTCTGTATCACTGAAAGCTCTGAAAGGTGCACCATCACTAGCTAGGTTATTCTAGAAACCAAGTCTCAGTAGCTTAACAGGACAGATGATTTATTACTTGTCCACGTTACAGGTCTAAAGCGGGTGAGCCCAGGGTTCCGCTCACCCTTCTCTCTCAGGCTGCAGGAGCCCGGCTCCCTCTCAACACTAAGGCCGGAGGGGAGCAGGTACTGGCCAAAGCCTAAAAGTCACCTCTTGCCCTGTAGCCAAAGCAGGTCACATGGCCACTCCTACTTCAAAGGAGAGTGGGATCATCCCACCTGCACCCAGGGAGGGTGACCACACGCTGAGAACTTCTCTACTGCTTCCCACAGGAGGCCAGGAAAGGACACAGATGTGAGTGGCCCAGACCACTACACACACCAATGATCTGAAGCCTGCAGTTCGGCTCAAACTCCTGTCACCAGACAGGAATACAGACCTAGTGCGAACACATCTCTTTGTTTTTCAAGAGAAGATAGAAGATTTATTTGAAATCTCATACATTTTTAATCCCATCTCTGAAAATCACTGTGCAAACACTGCAGGCTAGCTGTTTCATCTCTGCCATGATGTTACAAATTACAAACAAGAGCTTTAAAATCAGGAACACCTGCATCAGATTCCAATCTGTACCTTCACAAAGGAATGATATCCGTAACCACAGAATCCCTATAAAGAGCAAAAGAAACACACACACACACACACACACACACACACACACACACACTAATAAAACAGTCCAAAGGATATAAGGCAAAATAGGGAGAACAGTCAAATTGTCACACATCAGTATGTTTAACTTCACCAACAGTCAGGAAAATATAAGGCCAAATAACAACCTATACAAAAACAAATTTCCAAAAAATGAAGAATTAAAACATGAAAAATGAAGTGGACAAAAGATATAAGCTAGTCATTTTTAGAAAAGGCAACCAAAATGGCCCCAAGTATATGAAAATATGTTCCACACAGCAGCACATGACTGTAATCCCAACACTCAGGAGGGTGAGGCAAGAGGCTTAAAAGTTTAAGACCAACCTGTACTACACAGCAAGACCCTACATCAGAAAAACGAAAATTCTACACTTGAACACATCAACTAAAACAAAAGTACCTTCTCCCACACATCAAATTGCAAGAGCAGAAAGGCTGACAACGTTGTTAAAGGTTGGGGAAAGAAGCACACGCTTCCATTTCCGTCAGAAGCAGTACAGTGGCTGTGAGCTGACAGTGTGACCCTACGGTGTGACACCTGAGACCTGTGTTCCCTGGGGAGGAGCCAGGTGGATGAGCACACACTATGTGACCAGCCTGGAGGAAGACACACAGGTTCGCCCCTCTTAGAGAGCTCTGTTTTTAATTCAATGCTTTTGTATGGAATTCAGTCATCTAATCAGGGAAAAGACCTTCCCCAGCAATGGCATACAGTAAAAGATCAGTGCTGTTTATATTTTGGGGAGATTAGATCCAGAGAAATTTACAAAGCAAACATTTTTAACAACAATTCTAGGGGCTTTCACAATCACTAAGCCCCCTCCCAAATAAAATCATAGGCACAGATCATAATTTTTTCTAAGAAGGTGTCATAAAAAATCGGGCCGGGGATGTAGCTCAGCGGCGTAAGTGCTTGCCTGGCAAGCCTGAGGTCATGAGTTTTGATTCCCGGTACCAAAAAAAAGTAATAAAGATGATGACACCATGCTAGAGTACTTAAAATTGGCTGTAGGACAGTCCCAGAGTAGATAGCATCACGCTAAGACTTGAAGAGTTAGCAAGAGCATACCAGACTGAGAGGAAAGGAAAAGTCATCCAGATTAAAAGACTCACTTGTTTGTTCAACCAGTATCTGAGTTCTCATGAAGAGCCTGGCGGTATTCCAGAAGCTGGAGACAAGACACACGCGGTTCTTTTTCTCAAGGAAGTTGACTTCAGAAACAGAGAGTGAGGAGAGACAGATAAACAAGTAAATGAACAAGAAATTTTCACTACCACAAAGAAAATAAAGGAAGTGTATGCTCAGGAAATGAAGTCATGTATGCTAGGCCACTAAGTATGGCCTGAATCACCAGGTAGTCAGTTAGCCAGAACTGAAACACAGGAAAAGATTCAATCACACAGAGATCCTGGAATGGAATCTGGAGTTCTATGTGAGTATAGTAAGAAGCCAAAGAATTGCACATGGGAGAGTCCAGTGACGAGGAGCTTTATAAAGATCGCGGAGGTAGAGAATAGGCAAGAAAGAAAAGGAAGCAGAGACCTGCTGGGCTACTGCAATGGTCCTGGCAAGAGAAGACACTGGCCTGGCCTAGGGTGGCAGCAGTGACAATCGGGATAAATGGACAGATTAGGATACGCTGCAGAGGCAGAGTCAATGTTCTGGATGTAGGGAATGGCAGAAAGAAAAGAATGGCGCATTGGCAGCTTGAGCTACCTGGTGAACTACCCAGTGAGCCACCTGCTGAGACTGGAAAGCCCAGGGAGGAGCGAGCACTAGTAGAGGAGGATCAACAGTTCTGTTTGCTCCAAGCATGAGAAACCTACAACACAATCAAAAAGATACCAAGTGGACAGCAGAACGGTGGGTGCCAGGGGCTGGGGGACAGCGCGGATGGCGAGCTACTGTTTAACGGGTACCGTTTCTGTTTTTACAAGCTTAACAGTTAAGGGGATGAGGGGGAATGGTTGCACAACATTAGAGATATATTTACTATTACTGAATGGTACATTTCACGTAAATTTTAAGAGTATTTAATGCCAGAAATTTAAAGGGGGTAGAAAAAAAAAACAGATGTCAAGTAGGCAATGAATTGGGGGTTTTCTGCACAGGTCCAGGCTGAAGTTATACTCTGGGAAATCAACACTATACCGCTGTTAAACAACAGTGCTAGGATTGTCCGGGTCGCGGGGGCAGATGAAGAGGAAGCCGAATTCTCCCAGGTCACCAGACAGGCAAGAAATGACACGGGACTGTGGGGACATCTGGGAAGACACAGCACACCAAGTCCCTGAGGTCCAGGAAATGACCTGATCACCCCACACATCTTGGCCCACAAAACTCGGAATCCTCTGCCTTCGTGTGTGTCTACCGTAGGAGAAGCGGGTATACAGTTCCCTTTGCTTACCACTTACATATCTTATTTACGAACCTGATCCTTGAGGAGTGCAAAGGAGGAGTGGGGCTCTTAACCCCATCAGGACGACTGCATCGCCACCAAAGCAGACCCTGCCTAGCACATCCTAGGGTATGTTCCCTCGAAAAATCCCACAGCCAGGCATCGGAGAGCATACAATCCCAGTAGTCTGGGAGGCTGAGGCAGGAGAATCCCAAGTGTGAGCCCAACCTCGACAACTTAGCCACTTAAAGACTTAGGAAGACCGTGGCAGGCTCAACACAGGGCCCCCCAAATTAAACGGAGGGCAGGCAGGGCCCCTCGACCTCTCCGGGTGTTCTGGGTGTAAAAGTCTGCCGTGCGGGGGCGCCACCTCTCCCGCGGCCGCCGCAAGGAAGGACTGAGAAGAGCCACGCCCCCTGCTTGCCTGGACGCGGTGGGGGTAGAGGTGCTAACAAGGAACGACCTCGGCAGAAGTGCCCGTCGCACCGGTTCGAATCCCGGCGCTGCCCGGGCCCTGCAGTCCAAGTGCCCCGGCACCAGCGCGTCTCCCGACCCCGAGAGACGCACGGGCGGCGGGCGGCACAGACCAGGCGCACAGGGAGGGGGACAGGCCCGGCTCGGCGGGCGGCAGCGACCACTGACCTGCTTGAAGGTGCTGCTGAGGAAGTAGACCAGCGACAGCCCGAAGACCAGGGCGAGCACCCACCTCTTGCGCAGAAGCCGGCGCCACAGCATGGCCGCCAGGTTCACCATCCCGGCGAGGACGCGGGGCGCGGCGGCCGGGGCGAGGAGCGGGGAAGACCCGGGGACCCGGTGGCATGGCTCCTACGCGACCGACGTCCCAGTCCCCATCCCCGGCGACGGGCCGGACCTTCTCGGCCGAGCCAGCTCCCGGCAGCCGGCGCGCGTCGCCCCACGTGACCCCGCCCCACGGTCCGCCTCCGCCCGTGCGTCACCGGCGAAACTCTTTGGACACCTCCTCGCCATTGGTCGCTGAGGACTAGCGGAACCCTATTGGCTAAATCCAGGGAAAAGGGGCGGGAAATAGCATGCACGTGGCTGGCCTGGCTGTACACTGGTCCTAGCGCCCCGCCCATTAGATCTGGGTTTAAACCCGGCTAGAGGCCGGAAGCACTCGGAAGTCACGTGCCGTTCAGGTCCCTGCAGTGATTGGTTTAGCCGGACGTGAATGATGCGGCCGTGATTGATGAATTTTTTTCTTTCACCCGGGCCTGGTCTTTGTATACTCCTAGCCTTACAGTGCTAGAGCGTTTTGCACTGTAGTTTGATTGTATGAATGAAAAGCGCGCTGGGGACACTGCACCCTCAGCGTACCTGCTTGCTTCCCACGCCTGCAATGCAGGAGATGCTACTCTGCAGGCTTCTCGGTGCAGACCTTTAATGGCCAGAGGGCCCAGCTGAAAATATCGCAAGCATCGAAAGTCTCGCTGCGGACCTTCACAGGGAGACAGTAGGATGCATTTGGCAGAAGATTGAAAGACTTCTCATCTAGTTATTCAGATGCATCCTGCGTGCGAAAATGTGTTCTAAGATTCACTATTGGAATAGTTTTGTACGGCCTGCTTCCGACGGGGGATATGAGGTCCCTTCCAAAGCGAGCATCTGAAAGTAGAGTCATGGGCCTTTGATGGTGTATCAGACTTGTGGATGGTAACTTTGCGATACTGCATTTTTCCCAAAGATTTGGAATTGATGGGTGATGTTTTGGGAGGAGGGTTATTAAAGCGAGATTGTAAGTTTATAGAATGAACTGTTTATAGAGTGAAGATGGCGGTGGGGACTCTTCTCTTAGCTACTTTTCCAAAAGGGAGAGGTAGCAGCAGCTTTGTTGGGTTGTCTGTCCTTAGAGGGCCTAAGAAGTGGCCCTGATCAGAATTAGCAAGCCACTCAGCAGCCTATTATAGGGCCTGAACTAAAAGTTAGATAACTTTCTGTGGCCCTGGTACAAGGAAGTATTCCAGGAGGCTAAGTTATTCATGGAGAGTGTATGGTCTTTATTTTTTCCCTAGTATGAAAGGTGGGGCAGGGAACAAGAGATCTCGAAAAAAGCAACTGGGAGAACTGTGGTTTTCCTCATTGAATAAATACTTGAAATCTGTCTGTGCCAGGCAGTGTACTATTTGCCGAGGTAGATGGGCAAACTAGATAGACAGGATCTCTGTTTTTGGAGCACTTACATAAGTGGGAGGGCAAATCACAAGTAAATATACATGTAAAATAACTAATAAGTGTTGTGAAGAAAATAAAACAGGCCAGTGTTTCCCAAGAGGGTGGGAAAAGAATGCTTCTGGGAGAAAGCAGCATGTGACCTGAGGTAACTAAGTGTAACATTCAGGAGGAAAAGCATTCCGGAGAGGGAACAGCAAGTACAAAGGTCCTGAGCCAGGGACAAGCCGACATGTTGGAGGAGGAGTCACACCAGTGAGACGAGGGGAGTCATACAAGGAGAGCAGAAGGAAGCAGAGCTGGAAACGGGTGAGGCTGCCTTTAGGCTGTGAACACAGCTTGGACGTTCTGGTTGCAGTGGGAAGCCATTCAGGGATAGAACACATTTTCTATATTACCCAATAAGGACTCACAATTTGACAATAAAACAAAATATGTTAAGATTAAGATCATAGCACCCTTAAGAGTCTCAAAGAGGGAGACTACTCCCCTTTGGGGCTACCCAGAGATCTTGAGCAGATGGAGTCCTCTGCTTATAGTTACCAGTGATATCCCAAGACTGCAGATTTGAAGTATCCCGCGGGCCATTTACCCAAGTGTTCTGTGCCGTGCAGGGCTTGGAGAACTTGTAAGCTCCCTGACCTGGGCATCTCTCTGTGAGGAGGAAGAGGGCAGGCCTGCTGTCTCGGAGATCCTGTGGTCACCTCATCAGGAGTCCTGAGTGCCCACTTCAGGTGTCATCAGGATGGAGTTCTGAAGTCCATGTGGCTCCTTGCGGTGAACCAGGTGAAGTGTCTCCATGAGAATTTGTACTCTAATTAATTAATTAATTTTCTCCAGTACTAGGGATTGAAGCCAGGGCCTCCTGCATGGTAGGCGAACACTCTACCACCGAGCTACGTGCCCACCCCTTTTAATTTTGAGACAAAAATCTCACTAAACTATCCAGGCTGTCCTCAAACTTGCAATCCTCTTGCCTCAGCCTCCTGAGTAGCTGGGATTACAGATGTGTGCCACTGCACCTCACTTGAATTCACACCTTCATTACCACTTTATTAATGTGAGGGGTAGAAGGAAGCTTTGGGTTTGACTACTTTCCCCGCTCCCATGGAACATGTGGGGAGTCTGAAGCAGTATTTGTCTATGGTTACCGTAGCGGCATGACAGGCAGTGTGTCTGTTGGGAGACTTGGCTTAAGCATGTGTTGCTTTCAGGTGTTAAAGAAAATGCAGAGGCGCCACAGCAGCAACACGGACACCATTCCACCTGAAAGGTAGGCATCCCCATTCGTTCCATCTGAGGGCTCAGGACTTTGGGTGGTGAAGGGCAACCAAAACAGGATTGAATAAAACCTGCTTCTTAGAGATAGTCGTTAAGAGTCACAAAGGAGGTCAGATGGGAAACCACTGCACACAGTGCATTAGTCAGCTGTGCATTCCTACAACGAAATATGCAAGGCAGCAAACTTTATAAACAAGTGACCTGGCCTGTGGTTTTGGAGGCTGAGAGTCCAGTTGGCATCATATAGGCACAGTGGCCGCCCCTTGACCCTATCACTTTGTGGAATAAGTAGCAGTGGAAGCTACAGGTGTAGGACCCAAGTGATTACATATGGGAGAGAACTGACCTGAGACAGAGAGAGGGGCTGGGTTCTCACAATCTCATCTGAGGACACACCCCCAAGGTCCTGAGGACCTCCCACTCAGCTCTACCTCTTAAAGGTCCACAGCACCTCCCAGCACCACCACCCAGGACCATGACTTTACACAAGGGCCTTTGGGGAGAGGGTCACTCAAATGACACCTGAGCCTTAGCACACAGTGACAGCCTTGTGTCACTGGCTGCTGTTGCTTTTGTGGTAATTCTCAATCCCTGTGTGATGAGTGATCTACTTGGCTCATTGTATCAATAACTGCACTCTAGGATTTTAACTTATAGGGATGGCTTAGTCTGTGCAGGCTACTGTAAGAAAAATGTAATAGTCTACGCGGCTTAAACAATGAGCATTTATTTCTCACAGTTCTGGAAGCTGGGAAGTCCAAGATCAAGGCATTTGCAGATTCAGTGTCTGGTGAGAGCCGGCTTCCTGGTTGACAGGTGGCCATTCCCTTGCTGTGTCCACATGGTAGAAGAGAAAGGTATCTCTCTGTGCCCTTTTTTTATTAGGGCACGAATCCCATTTCTGAGGCCCTCATCTTCAAGACCTAATCATCCTCAAAAGCTCTCATCTCCCAATACCGTAAAACTAGCAGTTAGGGCTTCAACATATGAATCCGATGGAAAAACAAATATTCCATTCAGAACACTGAGGAAAAACACAGAGGGACTGATGACGTTGATTACATTTCCTTAGAGCAGGGGCACAGCACGCAACACAAGGCCATGTAGGGAAGAACCAGTGTTGGATACGAGGCAAAGTAGAGGGAGGATAGAGCATTGATCATAGTCTTTGCTGGAGAAACCAAGTAAGGGAGGAAAACTGAGTGAGATGCAGCAGTTTGAATAATGGCTCTGGGGAATAAAAGTGATCTCCAGTTGTTTAATATCTAGCCCTGGGTAATTTAGGACAGAAGAGATTGTCTTAGTCACTTTCTCATTGCTGGGACAAAGTACTCAACACCCACAACCTGAAGAAGAAGAGATTTATTTTTGCTCTGTGGTCGACTACCTCCATGGCGGAAACAGCATGGGGGAAGGGTCTAGCAGAGAAAAGCTGCTCACACCATAGCAGTCAGGAAGCAAAGCAGGAAAGGAAGGGCAGGGAAGAAAGATAAACCCTTCCAGATTTCCCCCCAGCAACTCACCATCAGGCCCCAGCTCCCAACCACAAGCCAGCTATAGTTTCCCTTGATGCAGTTACCATCCAAACACATGAAGCTTTGGGAGGACACCCCAGATTGAAACCATAACTTTTATCCCTGACCTCCAGAAGAGTCAGGTGCGTCTTTTTATGCAGAATCCACTTCATCCATCTCTGAGAGTTACCAAAGTTTTAACAGTTCCAGCACTGCTGAAAAGTTCAAATACAAAGTCTCCTGTGAGCCTCAAGGGAAATTTTGAGCTGTGAGCCCATGTAAAAATTAAAAAGTGAGTTAAGCTTTGCTAACATACAGTAATAAAGGATAAACACTCCCATTCCAAAAGGGAGAAACAGGAGAAAAGAAAAGAATTGGACCAAAGAAAAACCAAAACACAGTAGAACAAATATTAAATCCTATAGCTCCGTGTCCAGGACCCAGGGACAAGTTGTGGTGAAATGTCAGTTTCAAAGGGTTTGGGTGGCCCCACCCCCAAGGCATTGCTGGTTGCGGCCCTCATGGCCTCTCTCTTGGGATGGCTTTGTTCACTGCTTGCAGCTTTCCTCAGGACATTTCATGTTTATGGGTTCTCCAACTTTCTGGAGTCTCCACTGCACTTTCAGCTTCACTCTCACAGCTTTATGCACTGCCCTCTCAAATGCACACTGCTTGGCTTCCTGGCCTTCTGAAATCTGGGTGGAAGCCTCTGTGACCCCATAACTCCTGCATTTTGCATGCCTGTAAAGACTGCACCACATAGATGTCATTAAGATCTGCCCTCAGCTTGAATAGTAGCCAGAATCATGGCTACTGCTTGGATAGGCCCTCATTGATCGTAGCTGCAGAGGCCTCAGAGTACAGGGATGGTTGAGTAGTATGAACTGAATCCAGGAAAACCATTTCCCTAGGTGGCTGTTCTCAAGGAGGCTGTCCTCAGGCTCGCCTCTCAAAGCAAAGTTTTTCAGAGGAGTTTATCTTTACCTTTTTATACCCTTGAACCAGTGAAAAGTGGAGTCTGGGATGCCTTCTAAGTATTCTTCATGTTGTCTTGCTGTAAAGTACTTGGCTTCTTTTTAATGCTAGTCTTTTCATCAACCAAGCTCTCTAAGGCCCCAGCGTTACAAGGGCTTTCTTTTTGGTAAAACTCAAAATTTTTTTCATCATTCAGCTGTGCTGTTTGCTCTTTATCCTCCAGGTAGATCTGGTGAAAAGCAGCCAGCAGTACCCATGCAATAGCCTAAATATTTGGCTGCCTTGAAATTTCCTCCATCAGATTAATTAGTCCATCCAATCTCAGTGTCCTACAAAGTCTCAAGACATGGGCAAAACATAGACAAATTTTCTAGCAAAGCATAACACACATGACTTCTAGCCCAACACCTAGTATAATCCTTGATCCCAACTGAAACCTGATTCTGCTCTTTATCATGTGTTTGTCTTTTAGCATTCTGGTCTTCTGAGCTCTGACTAGAGGCTCCCATCAAGTTTGGCTCACAGTATTCTAGAGCTTCTGTAGCCAGCACTTCCAAACCTTTCCACACCCTTCCTGCAGGCTGGTTCCAAAATACTCTGAAACTCATGATCAGATAGTCACAGCAACAGCCCCACTTCTTTGGGACCAAAATCTGTCTAAGTCACTTTCTTATCGCTGGGACAAAATACTCAACTCCCACAATTTAAAAGAGGAGAGATTTATTTGGGCTCACAGTTTTTAGAATATTCAGTCATGGTTGCCTGGCTCCAAGGCAGGAAGAGCATGGGGAAGGGTCTTGCAGAGGAAAACTGTGCATGTCATGGTGACCATAAAGCAGAGTAAAGGGAGGAAGCAGGGAGGGCTCATTCTGGGTCATCCCCTGAGTGATCCACCTCCAACCACGCCCTGCTCTTAACATTATATTCAGTGACTGAACTCACTAGTGGATGAATCTACTGATGAGAACACTTATGATCCAGTCACCTTCCAGAAACTCCATTTCTGAGCATACAAGGTTGGGGGGAGGTAGGCATTCTCAGTATAAACCATAGCAGAGATATTGCCTGCAAGTGTAAGCGTTAGATTAGAGGAGATTGGAAAATGAACCCTGGATTGCAGGAGAGATGTAAACACCTTTGGTCACGTGTTGGACCCTGTGATAAATAGATATCAAATAGACAAATAGAATGTCTAAAGCCAACCCAGTTAAAATTTATGTCTTTAAACTCAAGAGAGTACACCCACGGTGTTCTCAGATTGTGACTGTCTCCAGCCCTAGAGGTGCTCTGCCAGCCTGTGCATCCAAGGAGTAGGCAGCCAAGCCTTTTCTCCCCCCTCCCCCATTCCAGGTTCCCTGCATCCCTGCATCCCTGCATCCCTGCATCCCTGCATCTCTGCATCCCTGCGTCTCAGTACCACTAGTCCAAACCCAGCACTGGGACCAAGTTTGGTATCAAGCTTGCTTGTTCTGCAGGGAAGATCATGGACGATAAACAAGATGAACCTTGGTGGAAATTTCAACCTCCTCCCACCTGCCGTGGTTTGGGTTTCTGTGTCTCCCGGAATTTGTGTTGGAAATATCATTCCAAAGTCATGCACTGATAACATTTGAAGGTGAGGGCTTTGGGGGGTAATGAGATTAGATAAAATCTTCGTGGTGGGGCCCGCTGTGGTGATATTATAAGAAGTGGCTTTATAGAAAGAGGAAGGAGACCCAAGCTAGACACTTGCTGGGACTCACCAGGGGATGCCCCCTGCCATGTTATGATGCAGCACGAGCCCTCACAAGATGCAGTACCATGCCCTTGGACTTCCCAGCCTCCAGAACTGTGAGCCAAATAAACTTTTATTCTTTATAAATTTCCCAGTCTTGGGTATTTTGTCATAGCGCCAGAAAACTCACTTAAGGTACCACTTGGTAGTACCTTTGGCAAGTGATTCCACCCCTAGGTCTCCATAGATAACGGGCGATAAAACTCAGAGCAGCTTAAGAATGAAGGAATGGGTGTGCAGACGCACAGACACAGCATCTGGCTTAGACAGAGTGTGCCTGTGGAAGTTTTCCAGTCTCTGCTCTCATGTGAACCGTGAGAGCTTTGGAAGCAGAAACCACGGCACAAACATAATGGCCACCATGTATAGAGGCTTACTCTGTGCTGCCCACACATGAAACGGATTAGGCCAGGGCTACTGTGCACATTTTACAGAAGAGTAAACTGAGAGTCAGAGAGAGGAAGTCCATTACCTAAAGCCACACATCCAGGAAGTAGCAGAGCTGAGATTTAGGCCTCAATCCATTTCCCCTCGAAGATCTGTGCTTTGAGTCATCAGATTCTGGCTGCCTGGTGTCTGGGTAGATCCACTGCTGCTCCCCGGACTGCCTCGGCTCCAGCCCTTAATCGTTACGTTGGAAGCACAGCCAATGTTTGCCCCAGGGAATATTCTTTCCCTTTTAGGCTGAAATCCTGGCTGGATGCAGGTAGGAGAGAGACCCAGGGAGGCAGGCCAGCTATAAACAGCCCTCGGGGGGTCCCCAGAGCCCCGGGAATACAGAGTGCTGGTTGTCTCAGGGGATGGGGAGGGCTTTCCAGGGCCCGATGGGGCAATGGGGGGCACCCACAAGGGCCCGTGTGGGCACCTGCCCAGACTCACACTTTCTGATCTTAGCCTCTTGAAGTGCAGAAAAAGCTCAAGGCCCCCTGAGGCTCATAGCCATGGTGTCTGTTGTTGTTGTCATTATTTATATTATTATTAGTAGTAGTGTCCAGGGTTTAAGGGAGGAGGACCACACATTTCCCAGGCTCTTGGTGTCAGCAGGGATGGGGCTTGGCAGGAGAGAGGAAGGAAGCAGACATCTTAATTTCCCACCAGATTTATGCGCGGGCACCCTCATGTCTAGTTGCTAAAGCCAGAGGAACCAACCTGAGACTTCTCAAGACCAGCAAGTGCTGTGTTTCGCAGATGTTCTTGTAAGAAATTAATAGGTTTCCCCTGGGTAAAAAGAATTCTGTGGTCAAATCTGTTTGGGAAACACTGGGTTGAATGAAACAAAGTTAGGTTTTGCAGTCACAGGTTCTGTCAGTGCCTTCAGCTTGATCATTCACCCTTTCAAATAGCTTTTCTATGTGCCAAGTGCAGTGTGCTACATGGTAGAGCTACAGCAGGGAGCAGACAGTCATTGGTCTTTAGCCAGGTGTGGTGGTACACACCTATAATCCCAGCACTCTGAGAGGCTGCAGCAGGAAGATTGCAAGTTCAAGCCCAGTTTGGGTAACTTAGTAGTTAGCAAGACCCAATCTCAAAGTAAAAACTAAAGAAGGATGGTAGCTCAGTGTGAGGGTTTTGGGTTCCACCCCTGGTACTGAAAAATAAACAAACAAAAACTCTCAAGCTCCCCGCACCAAAGATTCTGATTCAGCGGATCTGCAATGGGGCTCAAGCACGGGTGTTTTTCACAAGCTCCCCCAAGTGACCAGCCACACTTGAGAACTACAAGTCTCAATGGGAGGCTAGGGAATGAATCGATGGCTGTGATCAGTCCACGGCAGGGAGAACCAGAGGTGGGGGCAGCCTTTGGGCAGTAAGGGAGGCTCCCCCAAGGAATGGAGGTTTCAGGTAAAGTCCAGTGGAGGAGGGTGGGCAGCCCAGGGGGGATGGGGTAGGGTGGGGACCTCCCAGTGAGGGTCACAGCCTGCAGCATGAGAAAGAGGCATGGCATGAGATTGGAGTTTAGGGCCAGGTGTTCCAGGGTTGTCTGCCAACTTTATGTCTCTAAGCCTCAGTTTCTTTATCTGTACAATGGGAATGCTGTTGGGACCTGTCTTTAGGATTGATCTGAGAGGGTAAAATGGGGAGTCCTTGGAGGGCTTTTAGTGGGAGAGTGAAGTAGTCCAAGGTCTGTGGAATGAAGGGAGAATAGATGACACAAGGTCAAGTGTGAAAGCAGCAGCAAACCTTCTGCATGGCATCTCTTCTATTGCCGCTGTGGGACTGTGTGTCTAGTGTGCCTCTAGTGAGCACCTACTCTGTTCCCTGGGTTGTGGGTCTGGAGGGTGAATGAAATTCAGCGTTTGCCTTCAGCAGCTCATGATGGGCCTGGAGCCCCATAGCATCTGTGGGGATGCCCGTTTAGCCCTGCGAGGGGAAGAATTGGGGGATGCTTTGCCCTCCCCACACTTCCCTGACACACACATGAGCAGTTCACCTGCCCTCGGATCTGTGGTGTAGACTGAGTTTCTACACAGTGAGGAAAGCCGGTAGGGCTGAGAGAAGACAGGTAGCCTCCAGACTCTGGTACTGCATGTTTGAAGGATCTGGACCCAGTTCTGGGCTGTCCATTCTCAGGGGTCACTACAGGGTCTCTGTCACCCAGCGGTGCCTCTGAACTAGACACCAAACCCTTTGGATTGAACCAGGAGGCCAGGGCTTGGAAGTAGGATAAGCACTCTGCAGCCGGAAGCCCTTCAGAAGGCCTGGAAATAATAGTTCCTGTGTAACTGAGCACCTGCTATGTGCCAGGTACAGTGCAAAGGGCATTCTGCATTTTGTCTTCCCAGCAATTTTAGACACAAATTAGATCTATGCCCACTTTTTAAGTGAGAAAACAGTGTAGAGGTGTAAGGCCCCTAGAAAGGACAGATCTGGGGTTCACATGTGGGCCCGTTGATTAGGTCTTCTCCCCCTTACCTTCTGCTGCCACCAGACCCAAGCTGTGACCAAACATGGCCTCTCTGGGGACCTGGAAGACATCAAACTGAAAAACTTCAGAGCCAAGGGTCCTGGAGTTTGTGAGTTATTCTAGAATCATACTATCCTGCACTCACTTTTTAGCGAAGTAGAATAGTTTAAAAAGTAGACTTTAACTTGGGTGTGGTGGCACACACCTATAATCTCAGCACTCTGGGAGGCTGAGACAGGAGGATCACAACTTCGAGCCCATCCTGGGCAACTTAGCAAGGTAGTGAGACCTTGTCTCTAAATAAAAATGTTTAAAAGAGGGGAGGAATTGGGGATACAGCTCACTGCAAAGACATTAGGCTCAATCCCCAATACAAAAAAGAAAGTAGGCTCCCTTAGTGTTAGTCTGCCTAGAACAGAATTACCCTGCTCCTTCCCTATCCAGCCATATGACTCTGAACAAATAATTTTCTATGTGCCTCAGTTTCTTTATCTATAAAATGGGGATTTACTTATTTCCAGGGTTGGTAGGAAGATGTAGTGAGTTAATTAATGTTAGGCATTTAGACAAGTATGTGATGCAGAGGGATTTTCGGTAGAAGACCTGGCCCTATTGGTTTTATTATTTGTGATTGTCACGGTCACACATTGCAAGGTCCCTGCCTCAGCCAGCCCAGGGAGGACGTCGCTCAGAGGCGCCATGAACAGGAACTAGGGCCTCGTGGCTCTGGAGGAGAATGGATGCTGTCCGCAAGGCTCCTCCTGTGCCTCTTACCCAAAGCCTGTGACTTGGGGACAGAGGTGAGGACAGAGCTCCTGTTTGCAGAGCACTCGCTTTAGGATCGCAGGTCAGTTCTGCAGATACTGACACGGGCGCTATGTGAGGCTTGGCACCAACACACCCTGCACACTCGTACCCACCGCCCACCTGCTCACGTGGGTGTGCACAGACGCGGGCCACTGCCCTTCCCCGCACCTCCCTCACGCTCACGTGCTCCGTGCGGGTGATGCAGGTGAGCTCCCCAGTGTAGGCTGGGCCAAGGCCCGCAAGGTCTCCCTGCAGAGCCGTGTCTATGGCCATTGCAAGCATAGGCTTGGGAGTCAGCCCCATCATATTCCTGCCCTGCCACACACCACTCTGGGTTCTGGGCCAGCAGCTTAACCTTCCTGTGCCTCAGTTTCCCATCTGTAAAGTGGAGATGATGACAGCAGCCACTTTGTGGGGTCCCTCTCCCTCTGGCATGCTGTTGGCGATGGTGCTGATGCTCTGATGGGCTGTGTGTTTAAGCATTGCCAGTAGGGCCCCAGGGGACATGGAGTTTCCCTTGTTTATCTGCTCAAAGCCTCTGGGCTGGCGTATCTGTGCCCTGGACTCAGGAGCCGGTCCTCTGCGTGTGAACAGGCTCCGCAGATCCCTTGCAGTCTCCCTGTGGTCGGGGGACAACCCCCTGCATACCTTCTTCCAGAAACACCAATCACTACCCATGTGTTGGGGACCAGAGACACAAAGCTGAGTGGGATGCAGAGCCTGCTCCCAAGATGCCCGGACAAGGGGACACACGGCCTGCCACACGCAAGGCGGAGCTGGTGGGGGCACGGAGGGGTGAGGGTGGTGCTGAGGAGGTACGCAGGGGACAAACCTGCCCTGGGGGGCACCTTGGGGGCTCTGTTCCAAGGAAGCCCGTCCCCTGTGGCTTGCCATCAGCCAGGGTGGCGCTGTCGTCCTTTTACTGAGGCTCAGCAAGGCAGCTTGCGTATGGGTGAAGGCAGAGCTGGGGCTGCGTCTCAGGGCTCCCACCTTCACCGCCAGCACCCCTCATCCGCTGTCCTGCGTGGGCCACGGCGGCAGACACCGCAGCCCAGGGCACTGCAGCCCCAGGACGCAGGGGAAGCTGTGATGCCGGGAGGCAAAGGCTTTCCAGGAGAGGCAGGTTCGGATGTCACCCTAAGCCCTCCAGCCCGGGCCATCCGTGACTCCGGGCCCCTCCTGCCACTATTCCACTTTGCCCCGAAGTCCACACCGTTTCCTCCCCTCCTTCCGCCTGCTTTTATTACTTGCATTCATTTGCTAGGGCAGACATGAGGGGCCACAGCGTAGGGGGCTGTAGCCGGGGAAGTCTTTCCTCCCAGTCCTGAGGCTGGAGGCCCACAGTCTCGGTGTCGGCAGCTTCCTCCTCCTGCAGTCTCCCTGCACAGCCGCCCCTCCTGCTGTCTTTACATCATCTCACTCTGTGTGTCTGTGGCCAAATCTCCCTGTCAGGAGGGACTTAGAGACTAAGGCCTGCCCTGAGGACCTCATTTTGACTTTATTACTTCTTTAAAGTCCCTGCCTCTAATAAAGTCGCATTCTAGCTGGGCAGGGTGGCGCATGCATAAAGCCAGCACCCTGGGAAACTGAAGCAGGAGGATCGCAAGTTCAAGCCCAACCTGGGCAACTAAGCAACTGAGTGACACCCTCTGTCAAAATTTAAAGGTGCCGCTGGGGTTATAGCTCAGTGCAGAGGCCCTGGGTTCAGCCACCACTACCATGAAAAATAATTGCATGTTTATAACCAGGGGCAAGCAGATCCAAACTGTAGCTCCTTGTCACGCAGAAACCGCAGCCAGGCACTCAGTCCCGAGGCCAGCGTGGATGAAGGCGGCGTGTTTGAGAGTCTGAAGGCCGAGCCGGCCTCGCCCCCTGCGCTCTTCTCCGGCCTGGCCAGCAGCCTGCCCGCAAGCCCCTTCCCGGCCAGCCTGGTGCTGGGCTCCTCGGCAAGCGGCGGGGACGTGTTCATCCAGATGCCCGCGTCCAGGGAGGAAGGAGGCGGCCGTGCCGGCGAGGGTGGCACCTACCACCACCGCCAGCCTCACCATCACTTCCACCACAGCGCCCACCGCGGGGGCTCCCTGCTGCAGCACGTGGGTGGGGACCACCGCGGACACTCGGAGGAAGCGGGTGACGAACAGCCAGGGACGCCCGCGCCGGCCCTGTCCGAGCTGAAAGCTGTCATCTGCTGGCTGCAGAAGGGGCTGCCCTTCATCCTGATCCTGCTGGCCAAAGTGTGCTTCCAGCACAAGCTTGGTGAGTCCCTTGGGACATCGGTCGCCTCCTTGGGCTCTACGCATGGGTCCCCTGGAACTCCTGAGACGGGACCTCTATACCTAGCATCCCAGGAGAAGGTCGCAGAGGCTGGCGTGGAGCAGAGTGCTTAAAGGCGTGGGACGCTGGGTCAGACCTGCATTCAGGTTCTGGCTGTGTGACTTTGGGCAATTCAGTTGGCTTCTCTGAGCCTCAGTTTCCTCATCTATCCAGGGGCTTGTGACTGAAACAAAATCAGCTCCTCAAGCAGTGGGAAGGAGTAGAATGTCATAACCAAGAGCTCAGACTGCCAGGGTCCACACCTCTTCTGCCCTTTCCTAGCTGTGTGATACTGGAAACATTGCTTCACCTCTCTGAGTCTCATTCCTTTTCTGTCAAGTGGGAGCTTAGAGGGAATGGACAGGCAGCCTCTGTATCTACAGTCTCTGCATCCAAGTATTCAACCAACCTCAGGTCAAAAGGATTCAGGAAAACATTGCATTTGTATTAAAATGTACAGACTCTTGGCACGTTCTTCCCTAAATGATACAGTATAACAACTACTGTACTTAGGTAACAGTTATATTATATGAGGTATTATTAGTCACTTAGAGCTTTAATAAGATTTATGAGCTTAGGTGCAGAAATCCTATGCAAATTCACCCTTTTGTATGAGAGACTCCAGCGTCTGCAATGTTGGCACCCTTGGGGGTCTTAGAAGCAGTCCCCTGAAATGCCAAGGGACTGCTGTCCTTCATGGGATGGCGGTGAGGTTCAGGTTGAGTTAATATGTGACAAACTCTTAGAGAGCACCCCTGCCACAGAGTACATGCCATGCGTGTATAGATTGTTGCTGGTGTCCTGTTCATTATCAGCACGCATTAAAGTACATAATATAGAGCCTGGCACATAGCAAGTGCTCAATGAATATTAGCTACTGTAGTATTGGGAAGCAGGATAGTAATTCAGAAAGTGCTTAACCTAGTACCTGACACGTCCTCAGCATTCAGTAAATAGTCTCTAGTATACTGCGGTTATTATTGTTACCATTGTTGTTACAGCAGGATGTTGCCGGGGTGTTTGTTAGCTATTACTTTAGTCCTACCACAGGAGTGATGGTAAGAATTGTCTTGAGGAACTTAGATATTTTTTTGATGCTGAGAATGAACCCATTTTTGTTTTGAGACAGGATCTCACTGAGGCGCCAAATTGCCCCCAGTAGACTCAAATGTGAGATCCTCCTGCCTCAGCTTTCTAGAGTACTGGAATTACAAGTGTGTGCCACCACTCCCAGCTCCATCTTTAGGTGCTTATCTTGCCGTCTCTGGTGAATTCCAGCCAGCTTGGGTCACTCTGTCTTCCTCACCAGAGTGTCAGCCTGTCAGGACCCCCTTTCTGTCCCTAGCAGCAGAAGCTGGCTTGTTCCCAATGCTATCTGAATTCTGTCAGACTCAAGGCTACATTTTATTCTTAAGTAGGGCCATTGTCATTTTTCAGTAATTGGGGTTGTATTTTTTTTAGTCAAAAAAGAAAGTAGAACAAGCAGATTGTGGAGTTACTAGTTCTTATTGTATGTTTCCAGTGAAGAAATATACTTTTGCAAAGTAGATCTGGAATGCACACGGTGTTACAGTAAGTAGGCATGCTCCAAGCATATCCTGTGAAAGCTGAATTTAATCTGCAAGCAATAAAAGGTAGGATTTGAAAATCATTATGCGTAGAGAAGTCCAAGATTTTAGCTTGGCAAACAGTGGCAATTAAAGAGTTGTGGAATCAAATTCATTTCTGTTCTCCCATCTGCCTGGGTCATGTCTGTCTTTTAGCTAGGATTTTTCCCCCTTAGCATTAATCTTTAATTCCTTATGATGTCATGGTCTTTTTGTATGTATGCTCTGTCACAAATAAGATACCTCAGCTTATTTTTGAAGGCAGAGAGACTGATAGCACCATTTATTAACTGCGAGCAATTATGTCCTATAAGTACCATCCCTCTGTGAGGTAGGAACTGTTATTATTCTGTCTGTTTTACAGATGAGGGGACTGGGGCTCAGAGAAGGGCGGTGACTTCCCCAGGCCCACACAGCAGAAGTGGCAGAGGGGGAGAATTGGAACCCTGATCTTGCCAGACCACATAGCCCATGCTTCTGATCCAGAGCTATAAAAAATATCCCACGGTGGTCTAAATCCTATCCTGAGGTCAGATTGATTCCCAGTAACTTGTCCCATTCTCTAGTTAGCCACTAACTCCACGGGGACCTGAGATGTGGCTTTGCCAGCACAGCCCCTCCCTCTTCTGTCCCTCAGGCATCGCCGTGTGCATTGGGATGGCCAGTACCTTCGCCTATGCCAACTCCACGCTCCGGGAGCAGGTGTCCCTGAAGGTGAGTCGCCTGGCGAATCTGTCTCCTAGGGCTGCTGTCACAAACCGCCAGGAACTGGGTGCTGCAGCTACAGCAGCCTCGGTGTACTTGCTCAGAGCTGTGCGGGTCAGAAGCCTGCAGCAGTCTATCTAGGCTGAGACCCAGGTGCCCCCGGGGCTGGGGGCAGTGGGAGAATCTTCTGCTTGCTCCTCGTAGAATCTGCTCCCTAGGACCCTCTCTTGCCTCCCGCCACCACTTCAGGTCCTTTGTGATTGTTGTGGCCTGGAGTGACCTAGGACACTGTCCCCAACTCAGCTCAGCTGGCCAACAACCTGCACCAGGTCCCCTCTGCCACCCCTGTCATCCAACATACGCACCAGTGCAGGGATTGGGACGCGGGCTCCATGGGAGGTTGATCTACTTCCTGCCACCCCTAGGAAGCTCCCCAGAAGTGTCATCCTTCTCCCCTGCCCTACACACAGGCTGTCCGTTCCCCTGCAGCAGCACCTCACTTGTCTCCCACCCCCAGCCGCCTTCCCTCCTGCATTCAGCCCAATAGTTCACTTCCAAACCACGTTCTGTGCCCCATCTTCCCAGACCCTTGCATACCACCTTCCTTTTCCTGAGTGCGGAGGGCAGCCCAGTCTCCACCTGTGTACGGCGCAACCCTCGGCAAGCTTGGGGATCTCAGCTTATCCCCACTTTCCATGTTCTCCTTCTCAGGGCCTTGCTAATCCATTCTGTCTCTTCCACCTTTGGTTTGGATTTCCTGAGAATTAAAAAGGATCCATTATTTATTGGGAGAGAGAGGGCTGCTGAGCAGCTTAATCACATTGATAAGAGCCTCTTGGCTGGAGGTTGTTTCTGCAGTCGTCAACCTTGACCGCCTCTGGAATAATGAGTGGCTGGAGATGCACTTGTTCGTCCACTCTCTGGCAACACGCACTGCAACAGTACGTGGGGCGCTGGGTGGTGTCTGGAGACAGCGTATATTGAGCATTTACCGAAACCGCAGGGAAGGTTACACTGGGAAAGTTATGACCTCATTCTGTTCCAGCAAGGCAGCCGCCTCAGTCCAGGAAAACACAAGCTGTAGAGAATCAACAGCAGAGAGGCCTTCTGTATCTCCCGAGTACAGAGCAGGAGGGCATCCTTGTCTGCTCCTTCTCTGGACATTTCTTGGGGTCGCTAACAGGCTCAGAAGCTTCTGGGAAGCAGCGCAGTGAGACTTCAGTTTTTCTTCTTGAGTCTCAGGGATTTAGCAGGAACAAGGCTGGACAAAGAGAAACAGGGCTGGACTGTGAAACGCTTGAACGGCCATGTGTACATGTTTGAATTTAACCCTGTGGCTGTGGCTAGACCTTGACTTTGAAGTCCAGGGCAGTAGGTGCATCAGGTACAAGTGAGAATGGAAGTTCCAGCTCTGGATCTGAATCTACTGCCAGGCTGTCACATCTTCATAAGGGTGCTACCCATGAGAGAGCTAAAACAGAGTCCAAGCCAGGATGAAGGTTTACAGGTGTAAGCTGGACTTTTAACCCTTACCCGCATCCCCATTTAAGTGAAGGTGTTGAAGCTTAAAACCTGTACCCTTGAGCAAAGGTTACTTAGCCTGTCCGTATCCAGTTCCTAACAGTAAGTGCAGATTTAATACTACACGTCAGGTGGTCTTCTAAGCATTATACAAAGGGCAATCAAAGACTGCACTTGCACTGTTGTGACTGCCATGAATTAATTCAAAATATTCACCTTTCATGGTCACTTTGACTTTGAGGAAGAGCCAGAAGTCGCCCAGTGCCACATCCAGTAACCAAGGTAGATGAGAACACGCTGTGATGTTTTAACATTGGGTGGCACTGGGCAGCAGCATTCATCCTATTTTTTATCACACCTCATACAGACACTCATGAAAGACTCCCCGAAGTGCTTCAGAAAGTGGTAAGAATGAAGGGATGTGTTTGAAGCAAGGGGGAGTGTTTTGCGGAGACAAATGGCGGTGTATCTTTTACTACAGTAAATTTTTAGACTTAAGCGCACAATGTTTTTTGATCAGCTCTTACATACACATTTATTCTCGTGATTCTGTAAGGTGGGTACTAATATAGATCCATTTTACAGGTAGGAAGGGAAATGCGAAGAGCTCAAGTGGCATTCAAGTAGCCGACTGAGGACTTGAACCCAGGCCACCCAGCTCGGGAGTCTGTGTCATGAACTGTGTGCCCTCTGCCCTTTCTGGATGGTTCTCCAAGCTGGTGTCTACTATTTTGTCACCTTCTGTGTGGCCATTCCATGGGTCCCAGTGGGATGAAAAGTATCCTTCTCTTCACCATTGGCCCTTGTTTCTCCAAAACTTTGCAACTGTGAAGTTTCCACTTATTAAGGAACATTCTGGAATGTTCCACCACATGTATCTTTGGCATTGCAGCGTGCTCACAGATTTCTCTTCATCTGCAGGAGAAGAGGTCCGTGCTGGTCATCTTGTGGATCTTGGCCTTTCTGGCGGGGAACACCCTATATGTGCTGTACACATTCAACTCCCAGCAGCTGTACAACAGGTGAGCAGGGGCGTCTGCTCTTCTAGTGGAAGTGTGGGGCTTAGGGGCTGTGTTGTGTTTGGGGCACAGCCCTGTGCTGGGAGACAGTACACCAACTGTCATGTCATGACTTTTAGATTCCACCCCGCTGTTACATGCTCGTGCCTAGGACAGCACTGTCTCTGGCAGAGATATAATGCAAGCCACTATGTACTTTACATTTTCTAATTGCCACATTAAAAAAAAAATAAAAAGAAACAGGTGGAATTAATTCTAATAATAGATGTTATTTATCTCAGTATAGTCAGACCTCAGTATCTGTGGATTCAGTATCCATGGATTCTGCCAACCTCAGGTGGAAAATACTCAGAAAAAAATTACCATCTGTGCTGAAGATGTACAGAGTTTTCTTCTGCCTTTACCCCCAAAACAATACAGTGCAGCACCTATTTACATAGCATTTATATTACATTAGGTATTATAAGTAATCTAGAGACAATTTTAAGTATACAAGATGATGTGCCTAGATTATATGCAAACATTATGTCATTTTATATGAGACTGGTCATCCTCTGGATCCTAGTGAGGCTGGTGTCCCTGGAAGACCCTGGGACAGCCTCACTAGGATCCAGAGGATGACCATGTATCTAAAATGTCAGTTCAGCATGCAGTCGATATGAAAACTATCAGTGAGGTATTCTGCATCCATTTTTCCACGTTAAGTCTTTGTAATCTGGCACTTTACACCTACACCTCAAGCATGTTACCATCAGCTGCATTCCAAGTGCTCAAAATAGTCCTATTCCAAGACACAGTGATTGCCTCTGTGGTAGATGCCAGGGACCAGAAACTTAGCTTGCACTGTTTAGCACTTTGTACCATTTGATTTTTTTTTCTGCCCTATGAATGTAATAGCTTTTTAAAGTTATTTCAATATGTGTATGTCTATATTTTTTAGAAAATTTATGGATATGTACTAAACCACAGTTAGAAAACTTCAACCATCCAACTATTTTATTAATAGGCTTCTTAATAATGTTTTATTGAAACCAGCTGTACCCATCCACTGACATATGATCTATGGTTGCTTTTGAACAAATGGAGTTGAATTATTAAGACAGAGACCATACAGTCCAAAAAGCTAAAAACATTTGAAATCTGGGGGTTTTTCCTATACTGGGGACCCAACTGAGGGGTGCTTTCCCATGGAGCTACCTCCTCAGCCTTTTTTTATTTTTTGAGACAGGGTCTCACTAAGTTGCCCAGCTGGCCTTAAATGTGCAATCCACCTGCTTCAGCCTCCAGAATGATCACATTCATATACCACCATGCCCAACTAATATCTGTTCTTTTACAGGAAATGTTTATGGACTCCTGACCTAAAATATTAACAGTGTTCCTCTAGATGTTAAATGTGTGGGTAGTTTTACTGTTTTCTTTACAATTATTTGTATTTGGTAAATTGTTTATAATGGACACATTTCCTCTTCGTAGCATTGCTTTTTCTCCTAATATTAAGGCGTAAAAATGTTTGCCCCATCCGGTTTGAGCTGGGAAGAAACAAGGGCTCCCTGCTTCCCCTCCACCCCAGACATATCACATGACCCGGCTGCCTTCTGCTCATGTGACCTGTTGACTGCAACATGGTGACAGAGGGAGAAACAGAGCCCCAGAAATTGAACAGCTTACTTATCCCTGAATTATCAACTACTTCCTTCAAATATCCCCATCACCTTGGCAGCCAAGTACCTGGAGATTCTTCTGAAGCAAGCAAGCCTTATTTCCCAGATCTGCCAATGTACACTGAGCAGGCGCACCCTCACTCACAGCTGGGGCCAGTGAGGCACACTTGCAAGTCCAACACTCTGGGAGGCTGAGGCAGGAGGATCTCAAGTTCAAGTCCAGCCCAAACAACATAACAACTTAGTGAGACCGTGTCTCAGAATTTACAAAACAATTTAAAAAAATTAAACGGGCTGAAAATGAGCTCCATTTTCAAGCTTCTGTTAAATCCCCAGGGTTGGGAAAACACCACGAAACAAAACATCACTCCCATGGACATGTTGAACAGTCCAACTTTTCCTAAGTTTTTTTCTGAGCTGCTGTGGAGCTTCCTGTTTATCTCTTAGGGAGTTGGTTTCCCAGGTGCCCAGTGCAATGCTTAATCCTAGCTGTTGTCGCATCAATATTTATCAGAACTTTAAAAGAATTTTTTTCTAGTTCAAAAATAATTTATTGGGGGCTGGGGATTTAGCTCAGCAGCACAGCACCTGCTTGGCGGTCGTGAGTTCAATTCCCGGTACCGCAAAAAACAAAACAAAAAAAAGTAATTTATTTTTACTGGCAAAAAGTCAGAAAACACATTTTCAGAGAAGACCCAAATCACCTTCAATCCTGTCCCCATCGGCAGCCGTGTGAACATTTCTCTCTGCATCTGCGTGTGTATATGTTATGGATGGTAAGGTGCAGCGTAGACCACTTTATAACTCTTTCTCTTCATTTACCACCATATTACTTTAAACCAACAGGTTGCAATTACTGAAGCTTCCTATCCCAGTGCCCAGGACTCTGCAGACTGAGGATCCCTTTCCCAAAGAGCTTTAGGCCGGAAGTGTTTCAGATTTTGCAGCTTGTCAAATTTTAAAATATTGATATAGACTTTCCCAGTTAAGCATCCCTAATCTGAAAATCCAAAATCTGAAATCCACAATGCTCCAAAATCACATTGCTCAAAAAGTTTCAGATTTTGGAGCATTTTGGATTTCGGGTTTGGGGATGAGGGCTCTTAGTACAGGCTCAACCTCTGCTAAGAAAAACATATTGAGAGTCCTTTGGGACATTGTTACACTAGGCATTGCTCCATTGAAGAGCTCACCAGAGTTTAGAAAAAGCTGAGCAACCAGGCCTGAGACAGGCAGGGACCAGGGAAGTTCCTAGGATTTCACAAAGCAGTAAAGTATCCCCAAAACAGAGTTCAGGGGTCCACTGTGTAGGCACCAGTTTGCTTTTTGCATCAAACACATTTTTAAATGATTGTCACATAATAACTAGCGGATGGAAGCAACCCAAGCATCCATTGATGGATGAATGGATAGACGGTGCTATGAGCATACAATGGAACATCGCTCAGTCTTAAAAAGGAAAGAAATTCAGACACAGTGTACAGCAGGGATGAGCACTGAGGACATTTTATGAATTGAAATAAATGAGTCACAAAAAGACAAGTACAGTATGATTCTCCTTACAGCAGAAACTTAGAACAGTTAGATGAAAAGAGCAGACTTATTGCCATGTGTAGAAACCATCGGGGCTTTTTGAAGTGGAGAGATTCTCCTGCGGGGGCTGGAGGGGAATCAGGTGGGAAGGGGCTCTGGGCAGGGCTGAAACTCAAGCAGTTTTGAAAATAGGCTTTGGGCGGGGGATATAGCTCAGCAGTACAGCGCCTTGCTTGGCAAGCACAAGGTCCTGAGTTCAATTCCCAGTACCAAAAAAAAAAAAAAAATAGGTTTTGAGGAGTCAGTAGTTTTGATGCTTTCTGAGGCTGCCCCGGAAAGCAGTCTTAGAGTTGGTTCCGAAGCATCAGCACGCATGTCCCACCCTGCATTAGCACATGGCCCACAGGTCTGCGTCCAGGTGCAGGGTGAGGGTGGTGGGGCTTCCAGAAGCTTGTGTTAATTTCCTGTTCGTGCCATTTCGGGGCACAGTCATATTCCCTGGCTCACACCTCTGTGCTCCCATCAACCCAGAGCCAAATCAAACTGGCAACGCAGAAAGGAGACAGAAAAGAGGCTTCAGAGAAAAGCAGCAGAGCACAGTCCGTGTCCTAAGGCCACCAGCCTACAGTGTGTTTGCAAGTGACACCAACAGCCACCATCTTATTTTGCCCTCCCGGTGACCCAGCAGAGTGGCACTACCTCCGTGTCAGAGATGAGGAAACTGAGACTTCATGAAGCCCCTCTGGGCCAGTTGGTTTTTCTGTTAAACTAACAAAATACCCAAGGCTGGGTGGTTAATGAGGAAGTTTGTTTAGTTCACAGATCTGGAGGTTCAAGGGCATGGCACTGGCGTTGGCTTGGCTCTAGTGAGAACCTGATGGCAGATTACATGGTGACAGGGTGCTGCACATGTGCAGGAGGGAGAGCTCGCTGGGTGACAGGAAACCCCACCCACTAGGGAGGCCCCTCCCATGGACTCTCCACTAGGCTCCGCCTCTTAAAGGTGCCACCACACCATCTCTTACATTGAGGACCAAGTTTCTGACATACCAACCCTCGCAGATGACATCCAAACCGCGGCACCTTCCTCAGGAGCCTGCGGCTGAAGACAGCCCTTAAACCATTGAGGTCTGATGACCAACCTCAGCAAGCTATGATGACACCATGCACCAGCTTCACTCCCTTGGGCAAATAATGTTTCCTCTGAACCTTCCCTCATTTGTGAAACCTGGCCCAAGTTCATTCTCGCCTGCTCCACCTGAACAGGCCACAGACGAAAACCAGATGTCAGGTTACACAGAAAACAGCTGGGCCGTATCAGATCGTATCGTTTCATCATTGATGCTATTGTTTTAGGATTATAGCAATTCTTGGTGCATAAAAAGGAGCGAAACTGACAATAAAACGTATCAGCCCATCAAGGTGCACAGAATACTTTAGGAATAAGTGGACTTAATGTTCAATGTGTAGGAAAATACTTCAGTACCAGCACACCCTCCCTCCCTCCCACTACACCAGGAGTGAAAACGAGCTGGGCACGATGGCGCATGCCTATAATTCAGCCTTCTGGGAAGCTGAGGCAGGAGGATTGCAAGTGTAAGCCCAGCCTGGGCAACTGGGCAACTTAGTGAGATTCTGTCTCAAAATGAAAAATAAAGGAAGGACTGGGGAAATAGGTCAGTGTAAAGGCCCTGGATTCAATCGCGAGTATTCTGGGAGGTCACTAGGATAGTGGTGGGGGACAGGTAGATGAATTGAGCTCCACCTGGTATCTGGAGGTAAAAATGGAAACATGTAAAGCAGATC